ACCGATGTGACAAATACCAAAGCCAGTAAGGTTATTAAAAGAGTGAAACGCAAGTTAACTGGTACTGATTTCCAGACCCAAAATAGCATAACGGTACAAAAACAGGTTGATTTACTTATACAACAGGCCACAAATAACGAGAATTTGTGCCAATGCTATATTGGGTGGTGTCCGTTCTGGTGAAGATTCTAAGTAATTTATTTATGCAATGGATTTTAGCAATAAATCGTATAGGCTTATTAAAATACACAATTGCTACCACAAGTGTTGACTTCGCTTCATTTTTTCCCCATCAGTTATAATATTTGACGAAATCAGAATTAAATTGAAGACTTCGGAAAACGTACGGATAATTTACAGTGATTCGCAGAGATTTGGGCAAATTTCATTTTTATGATTTGTTTGAACTAAAATAGTTCTGTGAAAGATATCTTATTTTGAAAACGTACTTTCAAGCCAACATTGTATCCACTTCAAATACATATACTGATGCCCAACTAAAACTTGGCACATTTATTTTGGTCTGCCTTTCTTTATTCTCCTGTAGATAGTACCACAAAAAACAATGGAGTTTCAATTCTACACATCATCGCATCCTGTTTATAACACTCACATTAAACGAAAAAAGAGAAGAACTGCAATTTAAGCTGGATAAGAGATCTGAACTGCTTCATAAGTACACACACTTCGAAGGAAGCGGCATTGTGAGCACACAAGCATAATAAGCCTATAGCGTCACGGACTTACTATTAGTTTAACTAACCATTATTTTAAGTCAGGATTTTTTATTTCATTTCTTATACTAAATGTAGTTTAGTGAAAAAAAAAAAAATAAACTTAGTTCTTTAATAAAAATTGTCTACTTTTTTATTGAAAAATATGATGAATCCAAAATTAGTGCCAGTTTCAACTCAATAAAAATATAAAATATAATATCATGTCTAGAACTAGAGCGTATCCTAAGAACAATTTTGAATAATCTGCATATAGTATTAGTAGTATTATTAGCTTTATTTTTACTTCATTTTAAATTTGTTGTAAAAATTAATAACAATTATCTTATATATATAAAGCTTACAGCTATGGCATTTTAGCCGTCTGCCGGTAATCTGCTTATATTTAAAGATTTATACAATTTATACAAAGAAACAGTTTAATTAAAATATGTAGTTAAAATAATAATAACTAACTAGAAAGAATATGTGATCTAAGAAATTCTCAAATACTTATACCCATAGGTAAAGTTAGAATGGCGATTCTGAATAGATGGGATAGTTAAAAATTACCTACACATTGAATTAAGAGAAACTGCTTAATCTCGTTGCTTATTACCTGCATATGTATATTATCCAATAGACTCTTAAAGGGTGATATTTATTGTTAAAAAGAAGGCCTGACTTTTTGATGGCTTGTTAGTAAACACACGACGAATATAGTTTGTAAGACTAAATTGTCAACCAAAATAATAATCCAATTACCTAGAATATAACACCAATAACGATAGTTTTCGATTATAATCCAAAACGGAATCTTGGGTCATTTGATTATCTGTATAGATACTTATTTATGTAGACAAGAACAGAGAGCTTTCAAGCAAACTACGCCATTTGCAGACATAAACTACTCCGATTATCTGATGAACCTACGGTTTGTCATACTAAAGTTTTAGCGATTAGTTAGGCATGTCGGTTAATTACGACTTATATCAAGACAGATGTAGTATTGCCATATTTATCGATAGCCAATCGTCAAATAAGGCCTTTTAGTCCAAGAACATTTGCTAGAACAAGTTTAGCTGCACATTTGCTAGGAAGACAACAAAATAAATTGGGTACCTCTATACAAGAGATATACTCTTTTATTTGGTGAGCGTCTTAAATTGTACAAAATACTATTGTCTATTCCTCCACCGGAAGTCTGAATGTCAATTATAATTAAACAAATTATATAAAAAATCCAACTATCTAGAAATAGAGAGAAGCCATGTTATCTTACTGTTGTGTTATAACTAGCCATTAAGTGAACTCAAGTAGGCTGTGGTGTACAAGGCCGCCACTCCATTCTAACTAATATATCTTAAACTGTCAACAATTGTCGATCTGTCACATCATACCAGGTTAAATGCTTTTCCCAATAAGAAAAAAATCTGTATTTATTGTAGTTATTATCGGGTATTTTCTAAGTCATTACTGTATGTTATCATATTTCGATAGTGATGAGTAACTTGTGGTTGTCGATATTAATGAGTCCCTTGGGTATATAAATCTGATTGATCTTTGAATTAACATTTTTCTGATTATGTGTTGCATATATAGAGGAAGTTATCAGAAACCTATCGCACTTTAATATTTGTTTACATCCACTAGATGCGGTCATCAATGCTGATATAGTGAATACCGATAAAGAAGAGCATTTACGCAATAAGAAAGTATATTCTTAAACCGGTTTAAACTGCTTTTTTACTATATAATACGTTGCGGTTCAGTGACCTTTCACAATTAAATGGATTGTAGCACTCTTATTGAATTAAAAACAAGTATAGACCATTTCACAAAGAAAGGCTACTTATCAACAATAAATTATGTATATACTTTAATAACAGGTGAAATCGGTTTTACAATGTATTTTATTATTGCGTCACTATTCCTTCTTTACTAAAATTACCTATATTTAATACTAATTTTAGAAATTTCTCGACATTTCTCTATGATCCGTATTCGAAAGTTGTTACTGATATTAGACATTTTGAAAGAATTATGTTTTATTAAACATGATCACATCATCATCATCATCGTCAGGCTGCATTATTGGAAAGAAAAATGCTAGAGAGCGACCTATAAGATCTATTGTGCTACATTAGACTATATATAAAGGTTTAATTTCTACAGAAAAACTAGAGATATGTCTAAAAACCTGTCACCGCATTACTACAAAATGGATGATGACATACTTTTTCTGTCTTTATCGAAGGACTTTTCCATCATATTTTGTTTTTTGATTGATAGCCAATAAAATTTAAGAAAGAGTACAAGTGACTAGATAAATTAAAAATACATTTCATTAGGTCCGGGTGGTGAACCGATAGAAAACTCTTATTCCAAATGATAAAGTAACTATTTATATTTTGTCCAAACTCTCCTCGGACAAAACCTGAAATATCTTGAAAATTTATTAGGAGCATAAGATAATGCAATTAAGACTACACAATTCCGTCTTCCTCAAAGCTAATTGGAAACTACTTTTATAATCACTTAATACAAATTACTATTTAATATTATTAAAACTAAAAGCCTAGTATATCTATAGAAATATCTATAAAACCATACCCTAGTATACCTATAAATACCAATAAAAATAATAAGAAAATTTTTGATTAACCAAATTTATTTATTAGAAGATAAATTTGTAATTGTTTAGGCTTCTACATGGTGACGTACACCACTGCCTGGTTTCTCAGCTAAGAAATCAGCAAATTCCTGATAAGGAGTAGCGCCCAATGGCATCTCTTTCCATAAATCAGGTGTCAAGTATGCGTAGGTCTTAGCAATAGCTGCATAGGTAGCCTTGGCGAAATTGCCCAAAGTACCAGTTGAACCACGAGCTGATGTATAGCAATCTTCAATACCAGCCATCATAAGCAACTTCTTAGGTACTGGAGCAGATACAATACCGGTACCACGTGGAGCAGGAATCAAACGCACTGATACAGAGCCGCATTTGCCAGTAACTTTGCATGGT